TAAATAAATATCAGCTCATTATGAGAGCGATGAGAACACCTTTTACTATGAAAAGTCATTCTACCAAATCATTGACCGTATAAGTAGTATACATAAAATAAAATTGGAATGTCTGTTTGTAATACCAAAGGAAAAATTCCAGAATTCGGGAAGATGATATATTTGCGTTGCTGATAACGAAAATCGTATTTAAAATATTTTTTATGTCTGTCCGTAAGCCGCGTTTGTTCGGGGTAATCTCCGAAAAAGGTGGCCCGATTTCGACCTGACACACTGAAGGATAGCGGACATAGACTGGCATATTATAAGCTGCTTTTTTATCATCACACAGTCAGACGAAAGCCAGTTATAAATAAACTCTGACAGCAATCACACAATTATCTAGATCTTAAAGGTCAACGACCCTACTGATCGATCGATAAATTAACACAAGCATAATTGGATTATTAAAAAATACAGAAGATACATTTTCTAATAAAATATCCGGCACAATTATATCGCATCGTAGGTACTTCCGAGTTAGTTATATAACGTACAAAACAACTTTCCATCAATGTTATCATGTCGATACTCAGAATTAGCACCTACTTTCCTTTTCGTTTAATCAAATAGGTGTGTAGTTCGTATGTTAACCTAGTTTTTATATCTTTTAACTTGGTTATTCGGTTAGTGTATTATGTCATGATATTGTTGATAAATACATTGTTACCTTATCAATTATTAGCTTTCGCCCGCGACTCTGTCCGTGTGAAATTAAAAAATAATATAAAACATACCTGTTACTGATAGCGTAGCTTAATGGTAAACGATTTTTTAAAATCGGCCCAGTAGTTTTTGAGTTATTTCATTACAATCAATCAAAGAAAGCTTTCCTCTTTATATTAGTTTATACAAATATATCAGTTATTGATAAATATATTCAACTTTTTTCGAATATCGATAAAAGTTTTGTATAGTTCGTCATAAAGACCGAAATAAGTGTATACCATAATGGTACAAATAGTAAACCTAACCTGAATTTTTCTAAGAATATTAAGAGAATAATCGATTTCTTGATTTTTTTTAAGATGATTATTCTGAAGGAGGGTTAAGCTATTCATTAAATTAGGAATTTAAAAGAAAAATTTACTACATTAGGAGCTCATTCAAAAGCAGCTTCGACTTCTTCCGCCTTCTCCAGCAAAATTAATGGCCGTCAGATATTTTATTTATTGTTTCATTAATTTAAATATGTATATCGACGAACAAATAGCTAATTTTACATAACACTATTAAATAATAGGGATTATATAATAAAATAGCTTCTATTATAACATTAAGAAGCAATTTAACAAATTAAGAAGATACATAAATTAGACATTTATTAATGAATTTGCGAATATGTTTTTTATTGAGTTTTTTTGTGAATTATTTTTATTTCTTGTCTTAATTTACTTGCACCGGATCTACGTGAACAAAGTTAAAATTATTTTGGCTAAACTACTCCTTAAGTAGAGTTTTAAGTAAGGTGACACACTCTTAGATTACATTTTTATATTTGTCTCATATTTAAGAAAAAATTTAAACACCTTAATATCTTACTTACGTGTTCCTTCTATTCAAAATATGTATACATACACGAAAATGTTGATAAAATTAGTCAAATACAAATATACGTGTTAAAAATAACGTACGGGGGAGGGAAACACTAATAAAACATTCCACAAGCTGTTTCAGAATACGACTTCGCCAATTCCGGTGTACGACCACTCGCAGTTTTTACAAATGTTATTTTTAGATGTAGACATGGCTGTTAAATATTAACGTGTTGAGTCAACGGTCTTCAGCGTGTAGATATAGAAATGTGACGAGTGTACCCGCATTCTGAGCGATTCGCGGAATTATTTTGTACCCTGACTAATGTATTTACTACGGAATATCGCTGAAAAGTATAATATCTAGAAAACAAAATGATTGAAGATTATTTAGAGTAGAAACAAAAATATAGTAAACAGTAATTGGTCATTTATTAAGCTTATTAATAATTGATTATTACTTTTCTATGTTGGTTAAGTAATTATTAATTAAAATTTTCGTGTAATAATTGCATTTAAAACAAATGGTTTTTATATTATTGTTATTGTAAGAAGTACTTGAAAGGGAAGGCATTAGCTCCTAAAACACAGCTTTTCCTAGGCGATATTAATGCTGTAATAATTGAGTATACAACAAAGATTCTTAAATTAAATCGATACTTCAAAACCCAAAATGATAAATTAAACCACTCGTCATTTCAAAATAAGTAGTGTATCCTTCGAGACGGAAAATCGGTTTGAAACAAAATACGGTACATCCCTTAAATCCGCTTTCACCAAACAATGAAGCCCCGCAACACAGTAAGCCGATACCTATCCGGCTTATGATGCCTTTTGTACAGGGCTTGTTTACGCCAATATTTCACGCAAATAAGCCAACCGGATAATCTTGATACTTAGCGAAAAGTAAATTAGATTTAGAATTGTTGATTGGATTAAAACATGTTTTCTAAATTGAAATTTGTAATAACATTTGAGAAAATAAGCAAATGATTACCCAATTACAAATATCAAATTATGTAATAAATTCCCAATCTTTAATTCGATATCCGCATCAGAAAAAGCAGATGAATGAATCTCGATTGATCGGAAATGACGTCATAAAAGCTAAAGATGCGGCATTTCCACTCTATTTTTAGAGAAAATAATGTTTATTATTGAAATAATTTATCCTCTCGACAGACTTTGGATATTTGAATATTTTACCTGTTATTGTATAATTAGAATCATTTATATTTGCACCTACAGGGAGTTCGCAAAATAATTCGCTACCGAAAATAGTTGGCAACAAGATTCAGAACAGATGATTTAAAATAAACAGGGGTTTGTGCGGTTTACCTGAGCAGATGTGGGAGCACACTGCGTTTGCGCAGCTTTGCATATGCTTTTGTATGCACATCCGTTAGCACGGAGTATTGTTTACGACTCAAAGGGAAATCAATGTACTTTTCTATACAGATATGATTCTATGACAAAACATAAAATAATAAAAAAAAATTCATAATTTTTCAAAACTGCTTCAAGTATATGATACTACTTTTACAAATTTTACTAAGTACTTTAAAAACTACAAAATATTATAAGTGACTAGTAATATCACCATTGTCATATTTAAAAATGGCAACAAGTATGTTGATGATCATAAGATTTAAACAATTAATTTATCATCGTAAAGAAAGTAAATAAAGACAGATGAAACAGGACAAAAGTAAATAAAAACAAAACTGTAAATAGAAAAACGCTGAACCGTGCAATAAAGGAATACTCCGCGACCGTAATTGCGCAGTTGTGCATCGGAATGCATTCGTCAAACAAAAACGGCGTCAAAACAATCAGAGGCATACATCTTATTGATATTAGCTGCGCGGCACGACAGCCTATTGACACAGTGGCACTTATCTGACATCCGAGAGTGATAAGAAACGTTACCCGCGAGCGTATAACAAAGAGAATTTCTCTCAAGCAGGTGCGGGAAGTGCATTTCTAAATCCCGGCACAACCTGATTACCATATCCCGCAATACAACGTTCATCGCTTCGAGCGATAGCTGATATCCGAAGCGATTCAGTCCATCCCAGTTTAACTGACGCACGATAAATGGTGCACCGTTGTGTATAATAAAATCAAACGTGGCCGAGTTTGCATGTAATAAGCAATGAACACCAATATCATTTTCCTTAACTGGACAAAATTGGGAAACATAATACCAATTCAACCGGTATTTATTCGGCAATTTGTTTTTTTACCCTAGATTTTGTAACATACAAAAAATCTCCGTTTACACTTCTTGAGATCGATCCCCAAACGTAAGATAATAAAATTCCGTAACGCAATCTCGAAACGGTTAATCACCATTTCATATGCTTATGGTGAATCTTCTTAAAGTAAGATATGCTGTTTATTTAGTTGACCTTGAAAATTAAACTATCTGTTGCTCAAATTTCGATGAAATTTGATACATTTAAAGCCTTACTTGCGAAGTAACATTCGATACTTTTATCGAAATCTTTGTAGAACGTATAAAACATTGCAACATCATATTTTAACAAACCAGTCGTAATCTCTACAGAAACTAAAACCATTCCTTTTTAGTTCAAAAATGTATCATTCATAACCTATTCCAGATATTTATCGATACATCGACACCTAGATCTTAAATCTAATTCTTAGATACTTGGTTATCTTTCTTATCATTTAAGTGATAAATATACAATTTATATAAATCTTCAAATCTTAAGCACCTCTCAAACTAGTCAAAACATCACTCTATAGTGGAATATTATAAATGTCCTTACAAACTAACCTTTGATAGTTTCACATTATTGTTTTCGAATTACACCCTAATTACGTGATAGGTAGAAAAGCCAATCGCTCAAGCAGCTTCAATCATATTTAAGAGATAGATAAATACTTTAAGATTAATTTTATCACACTTAAGATTTGAAAAAAGTTAATCCATACATAAGACAGCTTTAAGTATTACAAGAATATTTTAATTAACAAATGGATACCGCACCAAGATACACTAATGTTATGCTATAAACATTTTCATTTATAAGACAAGTTAAAGTAACGGATTTCTAAATTACAGAAGAAAAAAAAGCAAGTCTACAATCTACAAAAACATTTAAAAGAAAACGAACAAAGGGTTAATAAGAAGGGTCTAATTAAATTAACGATCCAAATCCCCAATAATTACATGGTCATTAAATTATTGGGGTTAGGGTCTTTGAAATAAATCAAAGAACTTTTTTTGAGCCTATTAAAGATAATTTGATTTCGGAATCCTCAGATTGGGATTATGAATAGTAAATAGATATTAAAATGAATGCTCTCACTTAAGTACTGAGTACTGACACAAGCAGAAGGTTTTGATATGACAAATTTAAATTGATTTCTTAGAGTGCATCGATAATTTAAACTTACCCGATTTACCGGACCGGGCGCTCCCGAGCACCACAACTCTTATTCGATTCACCGTCATCTTCATAACTCCTAATTTGCACTGAACACTTATTATAATTTACAATAGACCATCTAAATACCCTCTAGTTTTTGTCAAAAGTCTGATTCGTAAATCAAAAATGTTGGCGCCAAAACTAGCTTTGCAAGATGGCGGACACGCGCGTTCAACGCACGTGCTAGCGAGCGACTGCAGTGTCAAACTAAATTGGCGCAAGCCACTCGACTCGCCTAATGGAGTGAGAACTATTTGAATTTCGATGCCATCTAGATTTTTAATGAAAGGTTATGCATCAACCGTGTGAAATGCAATGACGGAGTCATGTTACTGAAGCAAGTTTTTTCGAACAAACGAGTGTCAAAACACGAGAAAAAGTAATTACACTCGCCCAAAGGTAAGAAAGAGAGTTGATTGACGACTTTCCTGTTGATTTGCCGCTTCGTGAAATTTTAACAAAATTTATACGTGGACATGTTAACAGATGAATCATTCACATCGAATGTTACATATCAAATATGATATGTCAACAGCTGTTTTAGTTTAGTTTAACAATTGAATAGCTAATACGTACAACAAAATGGTAGAAACCAATAGCGACTGTCTGATGACGCTTGAGGTACTATTGGATGACTGTGACGAAATTTCATTTCTTTTGCTTAGTCTTAATTTTGTGGTAAATAAGACGATGAGGACAACAATGACAAATCAAACGTAATTGAATAATATCGAAACTGTTATTAATACAATTACTCTAGACTAGATAATAATGTTATATCAACAAAAGGCTTTAGAGATACTACAAATAAATTTAATGGTCTAAAATTTAATGTGAATTGTATAAATTAGATATATATATCTTTACAAACCTACTCATAAATATATATATCTACACTCGCAATAATAAAAAATATAGTCGAAGTTACTCACAGATAAATTATCTTTCTAACGGTGAAAGAATTTTCAAAATCGGCCCAGAAGCTTTTGAGTTATTTTAGTAAATACTAAAAAAATGTTTCCTCTTTATAATATTAGAATAGAGAACTACTAGAACATTCCACAATAATTTTGACAACAAACATTTTAATACAAGAATATATTAATCTGCTTAAAAATTATTATTATTTATTTATTGATTTATAACACTTTGTATTTCACATTTAGATAAAAATAAAAGGTGTTTCCACGAAAATTATTAATTCAAATTACGAACTGCTATCTACAGCGCGTTTTAATTAGCCCATTAATTAGTTTGAAATAGAAAGTGGTTTGAGTGATGAATAACCAATAACTTGAATTCATTATTGCTTCGAGAAACAACAATGGAAACCTACTATAGAATATATAAAATTAATAAAAACCTAACTTGTTTTGAGACGGATCTTTTAAAATGCTTCTTCAAATAGAACCTTAATTGTTTTAAACTCTTTGGTTAGTTTAAAAATAAACTGTAGAGTAATAGTTTTTTTTAAAGAAGATGTGGTTGTTCAAAGAATAATTGACAAGTTCTATATTTGATCAGTTGTGAGAATTCTGACTGGCTTCAATTACTGTAGCCAAGTAATTGCATATTGTAATTGAAGTCGTTATTATCAACTAGTGGCTTACATTGTTGTAATGAGTATTGCTAGAAAGAATAATGCTTGCTTTATTCTTTTTTATTCGTTCATCCAATTGAGTATGGAGGTACACCGGTAGAGGTAGACCTAGAAAGGGATGGACTGCGTGAAAGGTTACATGATCAAGAAGGGAGTGATGACTGAGATAACGGATGAAAGAGAAAAGAGAGAGAGGAGGACGATAACTGGGTCGACACTACGGGGGTTGGACGGAGAGATGATGATGATGATTCGATCATCCAATCCATTCTAGCCACCTTGGAAAGAATAGTTTTATTTGCAATATAAAATTAAATCCAGAATTTGTTGAACCGATGATAATAAAAGGTAAATATAAAAGAATTTGAAGACAAACGTGAACCAATTAATGGTAAAAGTTTTATTAGATCGGTTTTTATAGGTAAGTCATTTTTATCAGCTTCTCCATCTTGTATAAAACAAAAGTTAAAATGGAAAGATACCCTTTCTAATGTAAACTTCCCTAACGAATAAAAAGAAACCTTTTGTTTGCTTTTAATGAGATGACTATGCTAACGGTTTGACTATAATATCCAATACAGGAATTTTAACAAGCTCTTTGTTAACATTTTCTAATCGTGTGTCTTCGATATATCGAAGTTGCCAGAAGAAACTATGCATCAAGTAAAAATAAAACTATGATGAGAATTGAGAACAGAAGAAATTAAACGAAGTAAAAGTGATGAAAATAAAAACACTTCTTATAATGAACTCAATTAGTATAACAAACAAACATACATCTTATTAATTACTTTGATTGGTAATAGATTTATTAGTTACTTTTCATCCCAAAGTAATTAGTTTTTAAAATTGATCGAAATCCTTTCAAACTATTTATAAGTAATTTATTCTTAAACAACGTTTATAAGAAAAACCTTTTACTATATCTAGATTTAAATTCAAGTTCGATTTATCTATTGTATCAGAGTAACCCTAAGCGCGAGGCGTCACTAGACATGTAAAAATATTAACAAACAAACCATCATGCACATCACAATCTTATTCAAGTTTATTAACTGCAACCGAGATGGGTCTCGCCGGTCCCAGACGAACGTGTAAAAAAAGATTTAAAAAAGCATCGAAATAAAAATGAAAGTATGCATACTGCGGACGACACCTGTGGAGATTGTAGGTCTTCTTTGTGGTTTCCCCCCTTACCCACTACTCTCCCCTCCAGCGCCCCCTACCCTCATCCGATACCTTTACACTATGTTTCATAAGAATGGGTAATAAAGTATTTATCCTTTATTTTTATACTTGCACATTGCATTTAATGTTTAAGTTTTGAAACATGACACCTACGAGTAAAAGCAAAAATATAACAATTCATAGCTTTTAAAATTAGTGGAAATACTGCATTGGTTAATTACAGGTACTACATAAATATAATGATGCCACAAACTAGCCGGGTATTGTAACGAAGTGGTCTTAATTATACTAGGTTTGACGTGACTCACTTTTTCTTATTCTAACCCCGAGAAGGCATCTGTCAATCAAATATTATGGAGCTCATTTTGCAATTCCTGTAGACTTGTAAATGTTAATAGTCCGTAGTGTACTGAATAGTTCATTTATTTCTTGTTTGATGCAAATCAATTTAGCAAATTAAATCGTTTTATTAATGTCATTGACTCTGACTTAATCTGGAGATATAAAAAGTTTGTAGGTAACTAATTGAGTTTCATTTGACACAGGATTTAAGTCGAGCACGATTTGTCACAAACCGTTATTCCGATTAAGGTAATTTTTGTCACATTACACATTGAAGGATTAATGTTTATTTTTTCGACGCTACTAGATTTATGAAAGAGATTTTAACTACTACTTTGAAATAACAACCTTCATCTAAGAGGTTCTAAGACTAAAATGTGTTTCAAATAGTTAAATATGTCCCATGGGAAGACCAAAGTTAAAGTTATCTTCGCAAGCATATAGATTCAAGACATGACAGAATCATAAAAAGACTTTTTACAAACTGTTTCATAACATTTCAAAGTTTTAATACAATAAATTCCCACGACCACATTGATGGCAGCACTGTACAGGAGTATGGACCCAATCAAACCGCGGCCATGACCGAGGCATCCCGCGGCTCCTGTTACAACACCTACAGGAATATTCGGTAGCCGAGGGATCCCAACAAAAAAATCACAATCAACCGCAAACCCAGTCAAGGTAAATTCTGACTGACGGGCAATTTAAAGACGGGATCCTGTCTGAAAAAGTATGTTAAGACCATACGTAATTGTATCAAACGTGCAATTTGTGTTTTGCATTCCCTTCGTGCGAATTTTGAGCTCAACTAATTTGTTTTCTTTTCTTCTAAATGATATGGTTCATAATAACAGGTTGTATTACATGAGACAGATATGTTTATCTACCTAAAATATGCGAATATATTACTTAACTAAATATATCAATGAATTCTACTTGGTTTTCGAAAATAAACCTTTTGTTGTTTATTCCCTTCGTTAGTTCTATATGGCTAGATTTATTTCAAATTTGGATCTCACAAATTAACAGTAAAGTATACGCCTCAAAGTTAAAAAACAAAATTTTGTTAGGTAATCAATTTAATGACCCTAATTATGGCTAGTACACCAGTCAATAAGGTCCTGAAAATCATCAGTACTTTCTTAACGCTTGTAAAAAAAATTCGCTTTCAATTTAAAATCTCTTAAATTGAAAACAAAATCAAAAGTTATAATAATACGCTATACAAACTTTACTCGTTTTCACACTCCACGTGTACAGTCATATCTTCAATGGCTTTAACTTTCACATGATTCTTTCCTTAATTACTTTCCGTCTGCGAATTAAGGTCTACTACCAAAAGTGTATTAAAAACGAAGTTATTTTTTTAAGTAGTCCTTTGTGACCGACTTGCCCCAATTTTACTGTCGACTTTTTTTACGGTATGGTCATCGCAGACGCATTTATCTCCATCAGTCCATCGTGAACTAAATTATACATAAAAAGTGTACATGTCAGTGCTACGTCCACACGGCGAATGTGGCGTAAAAAATTCAAACCCCGTCTTCAAAAGTGTTCCTTATTCTCTTCCACATAATGAACAGTAATGTCCGCATTTGTATTCAAATCTGCTTCAGCTACCGCACCCTTATGATTTACGACTTAAAAGAATTTATGTCTCAAGTTTACATTTTCTTGAACAGTTATTAACTTCCGTAGGCTCATGTGCTTCCTTATATGTATTTGATACTACATTTGAAGGAGATTTCGCGGTCACAGAGAACTCCGAAATAACTTTTCAATGTTTAATGCATTTTGTTCACGTTTTTCTTTTCATTTTCAATATGTTATCAATATTCACGAGTAAACACTTTTTTGACCTCGCGAAAACCAAAACGCATTTAACGTTTTTAAATTTTGAGTTCTGGTTTAAAAAAATTGAAAAAGAATTAAAAATATTTAAAACAGATATCAGATATTCCCAGTTTGTATTGCTATTGCTCTATAATTTCTATTTTTACAAGTTTAAAGTAATATAGGTATACATAGCTTTGATGAGGTTTTAAGCACTTCAAAAGGAACCCTAATAAAATAAATAACATCACTTTGCAATAAAACAGTAATTAATATAACGGTGTTTG